TGAGTTGTTCCATTATCTTTCCCGGGGTGGACGTGAGGCTGACTGGTCTATAGTTACCGGGGTCTTCCTTCTTGCCCTTTTTGAAGACCGGAGTGACATTTGCTTTCCTCCAGTCCTCAGGCACCTCTCCCGTTCCCCATGATTTAGCAAAGATGATGGCGAGTGGCCTGGCAATGACATCCACCAGCTCCCTCAGCACCCTAAAGGTCTGAGCACTTTAGATCTGCCTAAATCTTCTTAGAAATAGGAGGGAAAATTTCCTTTTAAACAAATATTTGACAGTTTTTGTGTCAAGTATTTGACAACATTGTATAAAGTATATTCGGCATGAAAAGTAACTTTAGACTGAGGCAAAGAAGGCATTCAGTAACTCTGCCTTCTTCTTATCCTCTGTCACCAGGGCACCCTCCTCATTCACCAGTGGGCCTACATTGCCTCTAGTGTTAGTTTTATCTGCAGTGTATTTGAAGAAGCCCTTTCTGTTGTCCTTGACCTTTCTTGCAAGGTTTAATTCCAAGGAGGTCTTAGCTTTCCTAGTTGCCTCCCTACATCCTCTGACAGCAGACCTAAGCAGACCTATAGTGGCCTGCCCCTCCTTCCATGATCTGTACACTCTCTTTTTCCGCTTGAGTTTGCCCAACAGTTCCCCATTTAATCATGCAGGTCTCTTGGTACCCTTTCTCGACTTCCTACCTGTTGGGATGCACCACTGGTCTTGAGCTCGGAAGAAGAGGCCCTTGAAGGCTAACCAACTATCTTGGGCCCGTGAATGAGATCCTGAACTCCACCATTTCATGGTCACTACAACCAAGGCTACCCTCGACCTTCAGCGCTTCAACCAGACCCTCCTTATTAGTGAGAATAAGATCCAGCAGCGCTCCTCTCCTAGTAGGCTCATCCACTGTTTGCATCAGGAAGTTATCATCAATGCACTGAAGGAACCTCCTGGACTGCGGATGGCTGTCTGAGTAGGCCTTCCAGCAGATATCAGGGTAGTTGATTTATCAGGATAGTTGATAGTTATGATTTCAAATTGGTTGGTGTTTTTTGATTACTTGGAGTGGCAGTTTTACAGTGATGCTTGGTAAGGGCTCACCAGAATATGTTCCTATTACTCCATGTCATGATTGTATTCAGGGTTATCTTTTATCTGTTTTAAGACTATTTGCACGAGTCTGCAATAGTAAAATTACAGTAAAATTACTAGATGACCTTTGAAGGTCCCTTCCAGCCCTAACCATTCTATGATTCTACTGTGTTTTACATTATACTCGTTTGGCAGGGTCTTTGGTTGGCTTTTAATATGGAATTTCTTCACTTTGCAGGGTGTGCTTCTGAAACTGTCTACCTGTTCGCAAACATAATCTGTTTCCAATTATTTTTAGTGTTTCCCATAAGCTCTTAAGTTTTCTTCTGATATTGTTCTCTGCTTTTAGAAATATTTGTAGTGATAATTTTATGTCCATAAAGCAGAGAAAATTCTAGTTATGGCCCAGGAGAAGCTTTACAGACTTTGTTTTGATAATTTTAGAAAACCGTTAGCTCACTCTATTTTCCAGGTACAAAATAATAATTGATTCAAATTTTCCTGCTTACTGGTAACATTACTGGGTGTTTGGCGGTTACTACTGCAGTGTTTTTCAAGTCTAAGTAGCATTTATTACCTTGCCTTTGCTTACAATGCTAGAAGAAGATAATACAGAATGGTCATTTCTGCCATTCAGCTGAGTAAGAAGCAGTAGCCAGCAGAGCTTGCTGAATAACAAACATGAATAGCTCAGGCATTAAGTAAGACCTTACAAAATGAATTTCAAGCGGATCTTAAAACCATGGTTGTGTTAAAAGAAAAAAAGCAGACCAATTCCTCACCAGACAAGACACACAATGGGGTTTCTCACTGTAAACGTGAAAGTGCCGATGATTGATACTGGTGACTAAGTGAAAAATCTAATGGTGTTTTCTTGCTTGTTCACATAAAAACATTACTTCCCCGAGAGAAGTAAGCATTTGGAAATTTTGCTTAAATGAAAATTAGTAGCTTCTCTGGCAGCTGCTACCTAGAAAATGTATTTGAAAGTGATGCTATGGTATGAAATATGTAGCATGAAGTAATGCAATTATATATGTCTTCATATTATGAGGAGGCATTGATGGATGGTGCATCTTTTTTTATTTCATACATTACTAGTCAACTTCTGGAGGTAGTACTCTAGAAACAGGACTTTTTTTCTTTTCAGGCAACCTCTTTGGTAGACAACTGCTTCTGTATAACATCCATCCTTGACAAGATGATGGTCAAATCAATCAAATGTTTCATCTTGTCTTCCAGCAGTATGAGTGTATTTAAGATAAAGGTTGAAATTAGTCATTTATTATTGTCTGCCAACCTTTATTATTGCTCATTGCCAACAACGTGCCTATACAGAAAAATCAAGGTGCGAGTTTTGACTTGAGAAAGAGTTTGTTCTGGCTCGCATGTCTCCAGAACGACGGCAGTAGCAATGAAGACACAAGTATGTCTAGCTTAAGTAAGTGCCAGAAACCAGGCTGAGTCTGGTTAAGTTTTGTGCTGGATGCTGCACCTAAAACATGAGTTTACGTATTGTCAAAGGCTGCAGTGCGTAGTGTAGAGGTAACACAGAAGTTAAAGTAGCTCATGCAAATAAGTCTTTCAGTGCTGTACAGACTCCTACAGTTGGAATGGAAAGCTTTGCTTCCTTTGCAGAGCACTGTGTTGCTCCCCCTGAGCATGTCTTTCTGTGATGTAATAATATCTTTGTTTTGCGGTGTAGGGGTACCATAAGGGCTAACAGGAGCTTGGGGCACTTGCCATGATACTTTGAACTGAGCAGGTACAAGCATTCATCACATTGTAAAATTCTGAAATTGGTCTTCGTTATCTCATTCTTTCTTGCTGCTGCTTTTGCTCAGAGTTCAACCTGCAAAAGCGCTTGGTCCTGAGTGAGTTTTAAGCTGAAGATGCTGAAAGGAAAAGTGCACTGACAACAAAGGCGAGATCACTGTTGTTGCTACTCACTAGGAAAATGATGATGATTCTTTTCCTGATGGTGTTGCAGAACAGTCATGGAAGCCTATGGGAACTCCTTCTGCCCTGTTGCTTATTGAGCAGGCTTTGAAACAACTGAAATGCTGCTGTTTTCTAAACTCTGAAGGACTAAATAGCCTACATGGCTCAACTTGAGCTCCCAGTGGTACCTCAATGTTTAAGATGTATAAGAAGCGTACAGATACCTCTACAGAGTTGGAAGCCTGTGATAAGACCATGCTTACCCTCAGGAATAGCAATCATATTTAAAGGAGGTGGGGAAAATAAACATTTAGAGCTCCGTCTAACAAACATAGACCACTGAGAGGTGATCCACATGCATTGCATCACCTTTGTGCTTACTGTCCTGCAGGGTGTTATCCTCTGAAGGATGAGGAGTGGAAAGAAACTATGGGGCTATGGATGTAGCTACAGTTTTAGAATTATTGTAGTCTAGCTTTCTTGTCACACTCCTTAGGGCAGAAAATGAGTTGTAAGTGAGATCAGGCTATTTATGCTTTATGTAAATTTCAGGAAGTTAAGTAGTGAATCAAACTAATGTCATTAAATTGAATATGTTTATCTCATCATTAACAGGAGTTCAGATATGACTGACTGCTCAGGAAGAGGAAAGTTTTTTCTTTTAGGATATGCAGAAAATGTGTTAAGATTCTATAACTTAGTTTTGAGCAAACACGTCCTTTTTAACAAATGAAAGTAAATCAAACACTTTCACAAAGTTACAAAGTCTATCAACAACCTCTACAATAGCCCACGTTTCATGACTGATGATATCAGAATAAGTTCTGAGATCGCCTGGAAAACTGCCATGCTGTTTCCATCATACTTAAAAGATGATAGCTAACAAGTGAAAAGATGTCACCAGCTGTGGTGAGCAGATGATAATGGGCAGAAAGTGCAGGTGCATTTGCTAGTGATTTTTTTTTTACTTTTCTGATAACAAATGCAAGGAAGTTTTTTTATTTGTGTGTTTTTACATATAAAACGTCTGCTTTCTGTAATAGCCCTTTCCCCTCCTTTTCTTTTCCAGAGTCAAGATGACAGATTTGCTTTCACTGCTGAGTGGTATGACCCAAATGCTTCACTCTTTCGGCGTTATGAACTTCTGTATTATCCAAAAGATGGATCAGTTGAAATGGTAAGAATAAAAAAACCCACAAACAACTATTGTAATAACTGTAATATCCAATTAAACAGTTTGTAAAATGACAAGCCACTGCCTATGCCTATTAATTTTCCAAGTAGGGAAAACATAATTTAAGATGTACCTTGTTCTGTTTCTATAACTAAAAGAAAAGCAAAATACAAGTTCACAGTGAAGGGTGTGGAAGATCTGTGTTTATGTTTTTTTTTTCCTCAAAGCTTGCTTCGGCATGGAGAGATTTGTTTTCACAAATCTGTTTTCAGTCAATCTCTACTTGGGTTTCAGAATTGAAACTCAGCAGCCTTGACCAACTGTTTAAGAAACATAAATTCAAGCTGATTCCAAACAGAGGAATAAGCTTCAGCTAAAATTCCAGAAGTAAAATGTACAGGAGTCTTATCAAACTAGAGGAAATGGTAAATTGCTCTTTTAATGAAGCGAAGGATTTTTCAGACTGTGGGATCTAAATTTTTCCGTCAGTGGTGCTTGCACAGACCTTTCTGACTTGTGCTTCATACAACTAATCCCCCTTGTTTATTGATAGCAGGTTAAAACAAGCATTTTGCAGTAGCAGGCAGATATCTATAAACGTAACATGTACTGTAAAGATAATCCTAGTAAACAAACCAATGCTTTGCACTCCCTTTTAGGAATGAGTGAATGGTTTGGATTAGTCTTTTTTGATTTTAATGAAGACCCAAGGGTCTGAGGAATAGTCTATATTTAGATATTCACACTTAGTAAATTCATTATAAAATCTTAGTTTTTCTGCTATAAATATGAAATGCAGAAATAAGCAAGCTAGTGAAACCTGCCTTTTCTTACCCAAACTACTTCTCACTGAAACCATGGTACCCACCTGTGTGAGAAGATGCACTTTGCACTTTTGTCTCTTTGAACAAACTCTGTCATGATGTTGTTCCTTTTAAGTTAGTTATTTGTATGATGCCTGTGTGTGCACAGTTTTCAAAATGTGAGGATTTTTATTTTTTATTTCCCAGAGACAGTTTAGCTGATCAGTCAGGAGCCGTAATAATCTTCCTACACAGCGATGTGTAGGTTGGCAAAATTGTTGTTCATTTCACCTAGACGTCTCAAAATCAAGAGCTTTCAAGGTGTTCTCGAGCTTCTTAACGCATTCAGCATCAAATGCTGATGGCTTTGTGGATTTTACATTTTGCTAGTGTGCTCTTATGTTAATATCTTAAGTATTGTGTGTACACAGTCATGAGTGTGTACGGACTGTGTGTGATCAGGACAGGAGTTGAAAAAGCAAAAATACATGTAACGCTTTTATAGAAAGAATATATCAAAAGCAGGTTTCGGGATGAGTTTGTGGACAGAGATTAAATTTAGAATTATATTCTGGATTTTTTTTTTCATTTCTGCAGAATTTGGTGACTCTTTATTACTGCTTAATTCTTCTGAATCTTTTGGTATCTTCCTGAGGGATGACAGCTGCCTGCTCTTTCCTGTAACATTTGTGAGGAGAAGGGAGGTAATGGATATGAACCAGCTTCTCCCTGCTTATGAGAGGTTTCATCCCTCTTCTCACCTCCCTGACCATTGCTCTGCTTTATGACACACCTCAGCTGAGGGTGGAGCAGAGATGTTGAAGGCTTCTGTTATCTGAAGTCCTCTGCTTCCCTCCTCTTTCTCAGTCCGTGTCTTCATTGTTCTTGTGACGAAAAATGACAGTGGGAATAATGAGACAAGTTTCCAGCTTGCTTTGCAGCTGGAGAAGACACCATAGGGTTTTATCCAAGGACAGCAAGCAGCTCTTGTGATCAAACTTGATGTCTGGACGAAGACATGCCCCATTCTCTGAATTTTCCATAGTTAATAACTCCCATGGGGAATTCTTAAAACCTGAACAACTTTTCTTTCTACAGGAGATTTCCTAAAAAGAGAGGACAGATCTTTAAAAAGAACAGATTCTTAGCAGAGAACTATTTTGTTCTGGATAACTTGATTCTAAATGTATATGGGCAGGAGGGGAACAGTCCACACTGTTTTATGTTTCTTCTGCTGTGGCTTATCATTCGCTTTATAAAAAGGTCTTTTAAACAGGTCCAAAATTCCACTCTAAAGAAGAATTCTTTAACACAGGTAGATTCCTCCCCACTCCCCCCCCCATCTTCATCTTCTGCTTGAGAAGAGGGAAACAGCTCCAGAGGTCCTTCTAGCAACTGTTAGTAAAATAATGAACAAAATGTTCAGATTTTTAGTCAAGATATTGAAGAATTTGAATATGCTCTAGTCAGTTAGTAGGCTTCCTGGAAAATCCAGGATAAAACAAGTAGCTGAATTCAAATGATTTTTTTTTTTTTCAGCATGTTGTCATTTCTTTTCCTGCCACGCTGAGTGAATAGGGGACACTGAGTAGGAGCACATATAAGGGGCTAAAGACATTTCAACAGGGAAGGATTCTTCCTTATAATCCTGCCTCAGCAGAAAAAAGTATTGGTATAATTTATATTCTCTGATCTGCAAAGCTTTGGCTATTCTGGAAAAAAATACAATTTTTCTAGTCTTCTAACAGGAGAGATGTGCTCACACATTTCAGAACATGGAGGAGTGGGTAATTTTGCTCTTAATGTTTTATTTTTCTCCAAAATTTGTGGAGAAAATTTTCTTTCTTTTAATGCTGTTCTAGCTTGTATATCATTGCAATGGAGGACCGTACATGTAATTCAAGACAGAGAAGCAGAAGTTTGCTCTGAGGAGGAAAAACTCTTCTTTTCATAGGATTACACTTACCCAGGAAACTGAAGGCATCTGTAATACCTACATGCAGTGAAGAAAACGTTCATCAGGTTGCCTTTTGTGCTTTGCCAGCTCACCCAGAAAACTACACATTAATGTCTTGCTTCTTGCTTGGAATGATGATACATAGCTGAATTGTCCTGACAGGCTTTTGAGCTTGCAGCCCTAGGCAGTGAGAACTTCTCAACCTAGTGTTGCAGTCACTCATCCGTCCCTAATTCTGAGTCTTCTGCAGTCAAATAAAGCACAGTATCACTGGAACGATGCCCTAAAGAGGAGATCTGCCACAGTATGTATCTTGATCGTTCCTGGTACGAGCCATTGGTCTGTGAAAGAGCATAGATCTGCTAGGGGGAACTGCTGGCAAGACTGGGCAGATGTACCCACTAGGCACCTGAACCATTTATCAGCTGGAATTAGCACAGCAAATGATAAAATAAAAAATGCAAAGCTAGCTGTCAGCCTGAGACTATTGAAATGGAACAAATTTGTAATTGTAGTTTAGTCTTTTAAGCTTTCTTGGTACACCTGCAAGTTCAAAGGGTTAGGAGTTAAATCAATTTAGTGATCAGACTAAATCCCGCAGTACTATGGAAATTTCTGAAGGCAGAGTAAAACTTATGTTGAGTTTGCCCACAGCGTAAATCTCATGTTGGGTAGATTTTAATGTTCTTTTCTCTGCAGTATGATGTGAAGAACCGTCGCACTTTTCTGAAGCGCACCAAGTATGAGAGCTTACACCTTGAGGATTTATTTGTAGGCAACAAAATTACTGTTTTTTCCCGTCATCTAACCTTAGTGGACTACGGGGATCAATATACAGCCCGCAAGCTGGGGAGCCGCAAAGAGAGGTAAGAAAGCGTGTTTTTTTGAAATCCTCCTTTGCGGTTGGGGTTTCAAAGTAGTTGTTCTTTGGCGGAAATGAGATAAGTTTTCTGTACTATGGGGAGAGGAAAAGAGAGCTACAAGTTTGCGTGCAGTTTGAAATGATCTGGAATACTGATAGCTGGAGAGAAGCAAAGGGGCCCCTGCTTATCCGCAAACCCATGATTGTCACTGCTACCTGATAAATCAACAAGTCCAACTTCTCCATGTCATCAACTGCTGCCTCCTCTAGGTCTCTTGGGAGAGAAGAGGGGGAGGAGGAAAATACGAGGTCCTGTTCAGCTTTGTTACTCTCCTGGGGCAGGCAGCAGTGGAATTCTTGTGGTTTGTGGATTCCCTTGGGGCAGAATTTATATGATGACCCTGATGCGTGCTGGGCTTGAAAGGCCTGGATCTTGCGAAGCTAGCACCTGTCTCTCTGGCATCTGTGCAGAAGCCTAGTGCCTCACCAATCAGATATACTCTGTGTTAGTAGTTGTAGCTGAAAACAGTAGGAACAGGAGGGAGAGGCCCATTCCCATTCCCCATTGTTTTTCCCACTGTAGAGGATTCCTGCGTGTGGACAGGAAGTATAGAGTGAGACTGCTGATAAAACTTATAGGCTTCTTTGTTAAGACAAATTGTGTTTATAACGGATGGAGATAAGAGTCATCATCTCCTTTTGGTTGAAAGGCTTGCTTTGGAAAAGACTTTTACAGCCCATCCAAGAGCAAAACTATCAGGAGAGGTGTAACGAAATAACAATAAGATTAATTTACAAGGAATTTAAATCTGGTTTGACTGCAGGTCAGGTAATCTCTGAATTTGTAAATTAATAAATTTTGATAATTTGCTCCAGCATTTTGAAAAAGAGCACAGAATATTTTAGGTATGATGTTCCAGTGAGCCCTATTTGCTTACTTTCTTGCTCCTTCCCACTAACTAGGCTTAATTTGAACTCTTTTCTGAGAGTTGTACATAACCAGACATACAAGAAGAGCTGCAAGTTTTGACATATATCTTTGCCCCAACCTCACAAAAACATTGCCTTGGAAATAACTGCCATAACATCTTTCCAGAAGGAGTTCTCTTGGTTCTTTTTCTCCAAGCTGGCATTGGGAATGCTGGAAGAGGAGCAAAGGACGTGGAGGACACCAGAGGGCAGCTTCTGTATATGTGGCTACTCTGTCTGTTCCTCAGTGGAGCCTTGGGTAGATTACATCTGTCTTGTTTATGGTTTTTATAGCAATCTAACTTTTGATAGTATTTCCTGCTCTGCCTAAACTAGCATAAGCCCTGGTGCTAATGCAGTTATACCAAGAAAAGGCAGCTTGTGATAAAATGACATTTTCTTCTTCTTGTAAGGGAAGTTGCTGCCTAAATGGCAACACTATAGTTGTGTCAATGAAGTGGTCCTGGGAGGAGGTGGATTTTTGTACTGCTCTACAAAAGGAAGAAATGGAATTTATGACATGTCAGCTGTTTGGAAAACATTTTAGGAATGTAGGCCGAAAGATAACATAGATATGCAAGTGGTGTTACATATTCAGAATAGCCCAAAGGAACAGAGTGAAAGGTGTCTTAAACAGACAAGGGATCCTCAAAATCCAGTTTCTTCACAGAAGCTTTCACTGGGTAAACAGGGTCATTTTAAAAGAGTCCTTGGGCAAGACAGTTGTATATGAGGTGTTTGTCTTTTTGGCCTGTTCCTAGCAGGTTTTACAGCAGTTATTAGTTAAATAGATATAGTAAGATTTCTGCAATACATGAAAATTCCTAAAATAATCTGTAGATGGAATTTTATTAATAATTTTAAGGATGTTGTATGAGGTAGAATGTTTCCCTCTCTTTTTCTTCCCTTTGTGCTGTACAGAACTATCAGCAGTTTAGGTCGACTTTGGAAATACAATCTTTAGTCACTGAATATGTGTGCAGACAGGCTCAGCAAAGGTGTTTGAGGGGAGACTGAAGGAATGTATATAAAAAATCTTGCATGTTTTGCATCAAGGACCTTTGTTTTTGTCAATAAACCAAATGAATATTACTCTAGGTACATGAGGTACAAATTAGATGTGTAAAAAGGCTAGATTTGCGCAGACCCTTTCTAGAATTAGGCTAAAATTACTAAGACAGTTCTATGGAGTTTCAGTTTCTACACTCATTTTTCTTAATTCTTGGGTCATTTTTTAAATACAGCCGTATTTGGGTGTTCTTCTTCCCTGCTTCCCTCCCAGTGCATCATAAGGGAACTGTCACAAACAGTGACTAAAATGGGTAAGTAAGCATGTGCTGACTTACAGTGTACCAAATAAGGAATCACTGGCACGGGATGGGGATTTCTGCTTCTGTAGTCTTTCACTTGTGATCCTGGGTGGTTGTAACCTCAGGGAAACATTTGTCTGACTGGTGAGTCTTGTCTTAGTAGGCTATGCTTAGATTCAGTTAATATCACTGGTTTTGAAAATAGTGTTATAAAGCTTATATCTCAACCAGAAATACTTGAATTCTTTTTTGATTTGGATATATTATTCTATGTTTCTAGTTATTGACCTAGTAAGTGTTTCTTCCCCTACAAGACATAAGCTACTGTACATGCGACAGGCCTTTTATTAGAAATAAGTAGATCTCACAAGCATGGCCACAGCGTGCTTTGCGCACCATTCCTTTGATCAGTTCCCATCTTCTGTTGTTTCAGTACTCATTGGAGTACTGTCATACAGTCCCTCTGAAAGTGTAGGCAAATGAGCTTAATATTGTCATTCTTTCTCCTTTGTTCCTAGACATGAAACTGTTTCAAACAGTTGCGGACTGCATCATGTCAAACCACAAGAAACCTAGTCCTAATTAAAACTAAAAATAGGGCGCATGAATCAAAATCCAATCTCAAAAACAGCCTTCAGCATCCTGAATTATACTTTTCTTACCCTGCATGCTTCTGAGAAGCTTACATGGAAATGTTTAAGTTTATATATCTGTGTTAGACAAAAGATGTTGTAAGAGTTGCCCATTGCAGTTTTTATTAATGTCTTCCAGATAAACTGCTTCATAATGCAATATTTCATTAGATATTGCTAGGAATTACAGTTTAACTAGAAAGCTTGAAATTAGCAAAATAAGGGACAGTTTATTTTCAGCGTCAGCAGCCTGTCTCAAATAGTCTATGCAATAACATCGATTCAAAAAAGTATTCCTCAAAGAAACATGAATGACACTGGAGATCTCGTTCCAGTGGTTTCATCCTTGCTGTCCATGGTAAGCGGCAGAGTTGAGAGCCTGTTCTGCCAGGATGCAGGTCATGCATTGTGCGACTGGATGGGTACCTGTCGTCAGTCCAGCGCGCAGCTGCTCCACGTCCTGTGCCTCGATGCACGTGGCACACCCTGTCGTGTGATAGATAATATCACAAAGTGAGGTGGAGCTGTGAAACCCTTGGGGAACAGGGGAACAGGCTACAGGCTGTAGGCTGCATGGAGTGTGCTGGCAAACTGTGTTGAATGTTGGCCAGAGGTCAGCCTTTCCTGATCTGAAGGTAGGGCTAAACCAGCTTTACTTTGTAGGCTTGGTTGACTACTCTCGTGCAGTTTCTGGCTACACCCTTAGTCCATCAGTGCTTCTGTATCATGTTTCCCAAGGAATCTGGGCCTAAGCTGATCTGTGTGTATGAGCTTCCTTGTGCTTGAGGAAGCCTCTGTCTGTTTCTGAGCTCTGAAAGTCATCTATACTTCTCCCTTACTTTCAGATGAAGTGTCACATACCTTCAAATCTTCCTCTTTACATTTCCTGGTCCTAACGCCTCCCTTCCTTTGGATTTGCTGTGAAATAGTCTGTTCCCAAAGAATCTGTCGATCTGGGGTCACTTAAGGTTCAAAGTAAATGTAGTGGAAGTTCATCCATCTCCTGTAAGCTCAGCATATTTGCCCTGGCTAGAATATATTGCTGCTAACCTAAAGGCTGTTTTCCATGCTATGCTGGTACATACAACGAGAAATTTCCAATTATTTGCCTTTCTTTTAGGGAAGTAGAGCAATAAAAAATTCTGTCTTGGGTAGCCTTCATAATTGGAAACAGTGTAAAAGATGGAAAGAGCTCTTTAGGATTGTCAGAGATGTGGGGTTTCTGAGATCCAGGGTTGAATAAATCTGTTGATTTGTAAGCTGAGCACATATGAAGCTGACTCACCACAAGATGAATGCAAATAGAAAATGCAGTTTTACAGACCTTGTTTTTGTGCTTGTTATTTTTGATTAATAATATGTTTAATGCTGATGGTGTACTTGGTGCTATGCAAAGCACACTAATAAAACAGTCCTGGCCTTGAGGATGTACAGTATAAAAAGGTAATTATCGAGAAGACAGGATGTACTTGGAAACAAAGATGTGGGGTAGAGTGTAGAGATTTTTGGATTGGTCTCCCTTAGAATATAGCTGTCAGTCAGTGTAAGAGACGTAATACCTCCTCTGCCAACCTTTTATTGTGCCTATTAACAGTGTCAGCTATTTGGCATGCAAATTGTAGACCCTGAAGTGTTTGTACTGTACCGAGCACAATAGGACCTTTTTTTCACTGAGGCCTCCAAATATTTTAAAAGTAGTAATGAACCAATCATTTAACTTTGAGTTTTATGGAAGAGGCACATGTTTAAGTAGTATTTTTAAACAGAGAATTTTAATAGCTTCATTTTTATGTATATATTGATTAATGTTAGGAAAAAAGGGAGCTGAGCAAGCATAGGGAGACATTAACAAATCAATTGTATTTGAACCCAGACCCATGATTGATGAGCTATAGAGATATACACTAGCTAAGGAAGAAGTGGTCAACTTGTTTGCTCTGAGAGTGAAGGGAGGAAGCCAGTAAACAATGACTGCTGGTGGAACACTGTGGGCTGACTTGGGTTAGAAAGCCGAGGAAATTGTAATGTACAAAGCTTGTTCTTATCAGAATAATGTCTTGCACAGGCATTCAAGAACAGCATGGAAATTGATGAGACACTGAGACCAGGATGTTTGACTGTGGCAGAATATCTCTCTTTGATGTGATGTTTTTTCATCTGAATATAAACTCAACATGCACATCAAGTGCTCTAAGGAAAGTAGCATTGGCTGTATTTCTCCACTTTTTTTTCTCCCCCCTCCAGAACGCTGGCTTTGATTAAACCTGATGCAATGCCTAAGATTGGAGAATTAATTGATATCATTATTAATGCCGGATTTACAATAACTAAGGCCAAAATGATGATGCTTTCAAGGTAAGGAATTTTTAAGGTTAGCTCTATTGTATCTAAATATTATTTTTACAGTTAAGAATGTTCATAGATTCATAGATTTTTTGGAAAAGACCTTAGAGATCATCGAGTCCAACCGTCCCTAATCCCCATTAAACCATATGGCTAAGTAGCTCATCCACCCTATTCTTAAACACATCCAGGGATGGGGACTCAACCACCTGCCTGGGCAGCCTATTCCAGTGGCTGACCACCCTTTCAGAGAAGAAATACTTCCTGACATCCAACCTGAATCTCCCCTGACTAAGCTTATGCCCATTTCCTCTTGTTCTATCTCCCATCACTAATGTAAAGAGCCCTTCCCCCACCTCCTCACCACCCCTTCTCAAGTATTTGTAGGCTGTAATTAGGTCTGCCCTCAGCCTCCTCTTCTCCAGGCTAAACAGCCCCAACTCCCTCAGCCACTCCTCATAAGTTTTATTTTCCAGCCCCTTGACCAGTTTAGTCGCCCTTCTCTGGACTCGCTCCAGGAGCTCAATATCTCTCTTAAAGCGAGGGGCCCAAAACTGGACACAATATTCCAGGTGCGGCCTCACCAGTGCCGAGTACAGGGGCAGGATCACTTCCCTGTTCCTGCTGGTCACACTATTCTTGATACACGCCAGTATCCCATTGGCCTTTTTGGCCACCTGGGCACACTGCTGGCTCATATCAAGCCGGTAGTCAACCAACACCCCCAGGTCCTTCTCTGCCAGGCAGCTCTCCAGCCACTCTTCCCCGAGCCTATAGCGATGCTTGGGGTTTTTACACCCCAAGTGAAGGACTCTGCACTTGGCCTTATTAAAGCTCATGCCATTGGCCTCAGCCCAACGATCCAGTCTGTTCTCTGAAACTATCTTGTGTTGTTTCACATATCAAATCCATTCCAGTGAGTAATAGAGGGAAGACTCATCTGTTTCATAATCATGTAGGTTTCTGAAAGCATGTAGAGAATTAAGCTAAGTATAAAAAAGTTCTGTGCAAATGGGTGATTAAATATGTAATGTCTCTGTATGAATCCAAGGTGACTACCAGAGCTTTAGCAATTTAGCAGTGTTTACTACTAACATGACTGTATGTCTTCACCTCGTGGCTGCCTGATACAAACCACATTGCTGATTATAACAGCATTGTCTTTAGAGTAGTTGGTTTGTTCTTGGTAAATCCATTGTCTGAATTTGTGCTCTCAGATCCCAAGCTTGTTTGTTTTTGACGAGTGGTGTTCCACAGGGGTCAGTACTGGGACCAGTGCTATTTAACATCTTTGTCGGCGACATGGACAGTAGGATCGAGTGCACCCTCAGCGAGTTTGCAGATGACACCAAGCTGTATGGTGCTGTGGACACGCTGGAGGGAAGGGATGCCATCCAGAGGGACCTTGACAGGCTGGAGAGGTGGGCCTGTGAGAACCTCATGAAGTTCAACAAGGCCAAGTGCAAAGTCCTGCACATGGGTCGGGGCAATCTCAAGAACAAGTATAGGCTGGGCAGAGAATGGATTGAGAGCAGCCCTGAGGAAAAGGACTTGGGAGTGCTGGTGGATGAGAAGCTCAACATGAGCCGGCAATGTGTGCTGTCAGCCCAGAAAGCCAACCGTATCCTGGGCTGCATCCAAAGAATTGTGGCCAGCAGGTCGAGAGAGGTGATTCTGCCCCTCTACTCTGCTCTCGTGAGACCCCAGCTGGAATACTGTGTTCAGCTCTGGAGTCCCCAACACAAGAAGGACATGGAGCTGCTGGAGCGAGTCCAGAGGAGGGCCATGAAGATGATCCGAGGGCTGGAGCACCTCTGCTATGAAGACAGACTGAGAGAGTTGGGGCTGTTCAGCCTGGAGAAGAGAAGGCTCCAGGGTGATCTTATAGCAGCTTTCCAGTACCTGAAGGGAGCCTAGAAGAAAGCTGGAGAGGGACTTTTTACAAGGGCATGTAGTGATAGGACAAGGGGCAATGGGTTTAAACTGAAAGAGGGGAGATTTAGATTAGATATAAGGAAGAATTTTTTTTTCGGTTGAGGGTGTTGAAGCACTGGAACAGGTTGCCCATAGAAACTGTGGCTGCCCCATCCCTGGAAGTGTTCAAGGCCAGGTTGGATGAGGCGTTGAGCAACCCGGTGTAGTGGAGGGTGTTCCTGCCCATGGCAAAGGGGTTGGAACTAGATGATCTTTGAGGTCCTTTGCAACCCAAACCATTCTATGATTCTATGACTGGAAGTCCCAGGCAAAGCAAATGATCTTCTGATGTTGTTGCAGGCTTGGACAGATTTTACTCATGCATCTTCCTAATCCCCCCACTGTTGTTCGCTGTTCTCCACTTATCTTGTTGAGCCACGAGATTTAAAAAAAGGCATGGTGCAGAGGAAGGAAAGCGTAATTTACCCTAGAAGACTTCCCCAAAGTTACTGCACTATTTCTCCATTGCTGCTTTGCCAAACCTGTTCGTATATAACATGTCTTTGAAAAGAAAAGCTATCTGTCTTACATAAAACCATTTTCATGTGTTCTTATGGTTTCTATGTGAGGTCAGGAACAATTTTCCCCTATCTCAAAACCTTTTTGACTTTCCAAAATACTGATAAAACAGCTATGTGACTTCTCCTCTTGTCTCTGCGTTCACTTACTGCAATGTTTGGTGATACTGGTCCCAGGTCCTCCCTCAAACAACTCGAGTTTGTGAGTTCAATCAGGTTTCTAATTCTGATTGCAATTCACAGTGTCTTTCAAGCCAGCTTTTTTTTGGCTTGCTCTCCTGCAGTCTGAGAGATTTGATCCCGAAGTGTTGCGCTGGGTGGTTCTGTATTTCAGTGTCTGTCTGAAATCTTGAAGAACTGTTGAGCCAAGTCATGTGCTTTAGAATTGACTCACACTGAAGGGAAGAAACTTTGAGACTTGAACTTTTACTGCCTACTGCTGTATAAAAGTTTCTGCTTGTCTTGTATAGTTGAAAATAATTGTTAATAAGTGCAAGATTGCGCTGTGATAGTGGATATATTTAAAATAACATCTTGAGTATTTGTGGTTTCTCCACATACTATATACTCTTTCTTGGGACAGTGCCATTTTAAAATGATAGAACTATAGCTTTGCCAAAGTCTTCTACCCTTGGATCTCTGCAGGCATTCTTGTTCGAACCAGCATCATCATCTACTGCTTTTTTTGAAGGGATTATTACTGACATTTGTCTGGCAGTAACTATTAAATAGATTCATGCCCTCTGTAAAAATGTTAGCCAAGATATGAAAATGAGGGCAGGCACCTGCTTGGATAGGTCAGCTCCCCAGTCTCTTCATTTAATCATATGTCAGTTCACTCTGTTACTCCCAGATGAACACTGTTTTCCAGCCTTTAAAAGCAGAGAACTAATGAGAGAGATAAATGAAAAAGGAACTAAGTTACACAACACAACTGCAGTTTTGTGTTTATTGCAATAGGAATTCTTAACTGAGTAGTAGAACTCACTTTGTTTCAGAAACATATCTCTCAACTATTTCTTTGCATTCAGAAATTACAATACTTAATCTGTTTTCATATTTTCATATTTGCTTTCCAAAATTATTCGGTGAATTAGTTTCAGAAGAGGATTTTCTGTTGAAATAGTGAATTATAAGCAAAAACTGTAAAGACTATTTGCAGAATGTAGGTTTGAAGCTTGAGATTGCAAGAATTCTTGTGACTAGCATAATTTTAAAATTATGTTTCTGCCTTAGTCATGAAATGGAAGGCAAGTGTATTAGCTGTATGGTCAGTGCCTTTTGAATTTTGAATGACTCATACTTACACTGAACTGAAAACAACAAACCAGGAATTACTCAGTTCCAATGAGCAGGTGGTCATTTTGATAAAATGCTGGAGAAAGCTGTGACTGTTAACATACCTGCCAAGGTTAGGGAAATTAAATTCTTCTTAGTTTCTTCTTGAGGTTATTTCTTTCCTCTGGCAATATTGGGCTTAGGTCTGGACTGCAAATGGGAGAGAGATGTGAAAAGTTGCATTGCAGATGACAGAACCGTGCTTTTGTTCAGACTTAGAATCTGTTATTTGAAAAACATGCAGGTAATTTCTTTCAGAAAAGAGGGCTGCTCAAAGTAAGCAAAATTATGGAGACCAGAAAAGATCAGAAGACTGTTTCTGCATGTAAAAACTATATTTTCCAAGTGGGAATCTTTTAGTCTCCCTGCAGCTCTGCATTGATTATGAACTTTGTACTCAGACTAAGGGTGAGCAATATTGCTTGTTTTCACCTGTCAGTTCTCCGGAAGAACTTGTCCTTCTCCACAAATTCCAGCTTCAGAAAGTGGTACACACCAGGATTTGGAGGAAGCCAAGACCAAGCCTGCACTTCTGAACTGAAATTTCGAAGCTGAAGCTGCAAAATAACAGGGCTAGACTTGAAAACACTCATGGATTTTTCTAGCTGTTGCCATGCAAAAAAAAAAAAAAAAAAAGCAGTGCAGTAAGCAAGAGTTAAACACGAGAAGCAGCTGGAGAAAAAAGCAGGGAAGAGAGTAGGTTGGCTAGCTGCAGGGGGTGGTGGGGTGAAAAGCCACAGGACAGTACCCACCGGTGGGTGGATGGTGGGTCTGCACCATGGTCCCTAAATTTTGCATAGCGGGGTAGCTGAGCCCGGTGCTGCTAGCAGCGTGGCTGTGGGGCGATGCAGAGCTTGGAGAGGGCCACAATGCTGTCTGAAAAAGGGGTCTTTTTGCTTCCAGTACCTGAGTAAAGGCCAACAGCTGTGGTACAGACATACTGTGTATGCCTGGGGGCTTTTATTTGCCTGGCAATGTAAGGACCCTTCCTCATTACAGAAACTGCATTGCTTTGGGAGGAATCAGTGTGTAGTAACTGCTGTGTTCCCTGAGGGGAAGTGCAAGACCAAATTGAGTTTTCAAGTGGGAAACTGTGGGAGAAAGTAAGCTTTAATCTGAACGGCATTGTGCTGTCTGTGTGATTTGTAACATTTGAGGATACTGAATAGAAACCGGGTTATGCAATATTCTGCTGTGCACCAGTGGACTTGATAGGGAAATAAGTTCTATTTGTTTATTTGTGCTTTAAAACCAACCTTCATTAACCAACATACATGCTCAAACTGACATGAAAGACGAAAACAACATGACAGTGAATGGCTTGGCAGGAAGGTGACACTGCTGTATTTATTTCTCAACCTGAGAGTATGGGGACCATCGGCGACCCTGAAAATCCATGCTACAGACTTCAGTAACTACTTCCTTCGCAGAGCAGGAGCATAAGGAGCAGTCAGCTACAAGTCTCACCTGTAGCTGCACTAAATATAATGGGAAATTAAATGTAGTTTCTGTTGTTGGGCATGAACACCCCACACGCTATCCAGCTTGGGAAGACGTTACCTGTAGAAACATGTTGATGAATGATAGTTTGTGGTTTTCAGGGTTTTTATATATGTATATATCTCTCTATATATGTATATCTGTGTGTATATCTCTATCTAGATACCTATGTCTGTATCTTTTTACTCTTCCAGAAAAGAAGCAGCTGATTTCTACGTAGACCATCAATCAAAACCTTTTTATAAGTAGGTATATCAATTTCAGCTTGAAATGTATTAAGCTTATTTATTGAATGCACAGGATTCATTTACCGTATGTGGTACTGCAGGACCATGGGAACATCAGATCTTGTCTTAGTTGAGTGGAGCCCTTTGCAAAGTATGCACCCTGTTCATCTTCCTCCAGGGAGAGATCCTTATTTCAGCTATCCAGGGTTTTAACTCACACTCTTTACAGCCTGGTGATATCAGGGGAATGTCTTTGGTCTCTCAGAAGTGAAAATGTTCCTAGTGAGGCGAAACTTCAAAGCCAAGGGAGGAAGCATCTTCAAGATCAGGGTGGAGCTTGTAGGCAATGAGAATTAGGGGGAAATGCTCAGCTGTGAGAATTCATTTGGTAGCAAGTACCCCAAATCATAAGTAACTGAAAGGATAGTGCGTGGGGCAGTTGTTTACTGTACTGCTACCCTTGAACAAAATGTCGAACTTCCATGATGCTAGACTGCTCCACCTAACATGAAAAATCATGATTGACCAGATTGAAGCTTATGACCCAAAGATTGTGTTGTTTCTACTTTGCCTGAAAGTGCCAACAAACAACTTTCTTTTCCTCCCTCTGGATTTGGTGGTCTGCCTCTTTTAGGAAGAGAGTGCAGCTCTGCCTTTTGTTTTTTCAGCCATGTTGGAACCTGGATTTACACTTAGTTGGTCAAAAGACATGTTTTCAGTACTCTAATGAAATGCTTGAGTATTAGGATCTGCCAGCTGCTCTCCTGCAACAGCAACTGATTTATTGTGGGTCCAAACTCAAGCTCTTCATGGAGACGTGGCCTCAGGCTGTTCTGACCATGCTGGAGATCAGAGGAAGATTTAGAATTGCCTTTTCTTTGCTGAGTAAGCCTGCTTGAATATGTTGATAAACAAGCAAGAATTTTGCCTGTAGTGTTATTTCACAGATGTCTATCTACAACAATACTAACTAGCTGCGGAACTGTAGCCTTCGTCCACTGTGATGTGCCTGTCTCCCATCCTGCAGTTCTATTGGCTACGTCTTCTGTATAGGATTTTTCTCTAAATTAGAAACAAATGGTTATAAAGGATTACAAATCAAATAGAGCAAGAACCTTCAAGGCAGTGAAATGTGAAATCTCTGACTCATCTATATTTAGCATTATATTACTTGTCCTTAAATTCAGATTTAATTTTCAAAATCATGAGTCAATATAAGTCTAGTGAATAGTAGGAAAAAATAGCAGTTCTACTTGTTTGGAAAATAATGTTTTTCATATTAAATAATTTAATTTAAAAAATTTATTTAATATTTAGAATTAGTCTGCATAGTAAGCAGTGTTGTAGAAATTGCTTTTTTCTTGGGTGTATGTATGTCTAAGCCATTTAACTGTGTGCTAAACAAGCAGTCTCTGGCCAACAGATCCCGAGTTCCAGTAACTTCTCCCTGTGTAGTTTCTTCATGTTTATGTAACTTTTCATAATTTGATATTCCTTTAGCAAAGAACTAGTAGGATTTCTCTTCTTGCCAACTGATCATTGCATAAATGATCATTAGGAAGAAGATGGTTGGAGAAGCATGCACATCCACAGTTATAATTGTGTAAAGCTCTTTCTTTAAGTAGTACAAAAGCATTGAATCAACTTTCTCCTTTGTTTGTTCTGTCCAGACTATTACGGTGTTTTGTTTGTTTTTTAAATATAATATAGTTTGGGTTTCCAATTTTGGGTGGTTGTTTTCCATGTCAGTGAGTTGGTGAAGAGAGGAGGCAGGCTGCTCCTGACAATCTTTTCTCCCTACTCAGATTCATCCTATTAAAATCAGTTGACTTCTGCTTATGCCAGCATATGGTAACTTACTTTGTGGTTAAGTCCCAGCTCATCTGCAAACTTTCCAAACTTTGCTTCTGTCTTCTCTGCCACTTTGGATTTTGGCTGGGCAAAATCCATGAGAGCAATCCATGGGCTAGTGAAGCAATATGTCCTGACAGCAGTTCTGGAGTTGTGTCACTGGGGAGCACACACAGGGCATGTGTGATGTTCCTGAAATCCTGCTGTGCAGAAGGGACATGTGTAGGAACCTTCCTGTCAGGCAAATATCTTTTAAAAATTCTTTTGAAATCTAACATACTACACAGTAGCTTGAGTGAGTGTGTGTTATGTGGTTCTTTTTCTACAATCATAGTAAGATGTGAATGTGTGTGCATGACCTAGTCCAACTTCCTACTCAAAGCAGAGCCAGCTTCAAAGTTAGATCAGGATGCTCAAGGCCTTGCTGAGTTGAGTTCTGATCATCTCTACTGAACCATATGTTTTTGTTGGTTTTAATTTGTAACGTGGATCACCATGTGCTGTTTCCATTTTGCAGTGAGCTTCTCCAGTTTATAACGAGTGGTCCCATTGTTGCTATGGAAATCTTAGGAGATGATGCGGTTTGTAAATGGAAAACATTACTGGGGCCAGCAAACTCTGCAGTGGCTCAGACTGATGCACCAGACAGCATTAGAGCGAACTTTGGACATGATGGCCTAAGAAATGCAGCTCATGGCCCTGATTCGGTTGCTTCAGCTGCTCAAGTAAGTTTTTGACTGTGTTTGTTGACTGAGGTTTATTTTTGCTTGATTTGGTAACAGCTGGGTCAGGAATTCCTCATTTTTTTTTCCCTACTTGAGTTCAGAACTAGTTTAGATATTCTTCATGGATCTTTTTTAGCATGGAAAAATAAATTGTCTGAAAACAGCAGTTTCGTTTATCTCTGTCACAAAGGGGAACCTTGGGCACTTGGATCAGGAGAGCATGCCTGGTCGTTTTCAGTGACTTCTGTACATCACAAACATTGAGTTAATTGCATAGTCTGCGTAATCTGCCTATAGCCTACCAATGTTGGTCATAAAAAGAAAGAGATTAAATAATTAAATCCTTTTGTGCCCTCCTGTGTTTCGCTTATCTGTTCTCCTCCACAGTCCTCACTAGTCCTCTGCCTTCAGCCTACTTTCCTCTGCTGTCAGTGTTCGGAACGAATAATTATGAGAACAGGCCACTTTGTATTGCTTTGTGTTTTGAGAGGTAATACAGTGGTCCTGACTTTGAGGAGTTCAATTCTCTTTTGCTTTGTTTGCAGTGTGTCTTTTCATAGTGCTAAGAAAAAGCCCTGGGAGTAGGTGATAGATATTACCAGCATTTCTGCAGAACTGAGGTGACTATTTCTGTGTGGTGTTGTGGGGTAGATATGCTGATGTATGATGGTAAGAATAAAGTTTACCTCATGATTGATTGGTATTGCACTGTGGTATCTTAGCTCTAGACCAGTGAGGGAAAGATGCCAGTTGTTGTTTCCTTGATCCTAGTCTTTCCTCTGTTTAAATTGGAAGAGCTGCAATAGCACAGCTGGAGAGACCTGCCCTGGAATACCTAATAAGCTCCCAAGTGCTGTATAATAGAAAATATACGTAGAGATTATATCCTGGTGGTGAGGGCAGAGTTGGTTAACCTCTTCTTCTGGCTGGCTAGTAGGCAGTGTGGCATAGTAAGCTAACTGCAGAGCAGTGGATTTCTGCTGGTCAAGCACTCATCTCACTTACCTGCACTGTGCCTGGGCTGCTGGATTCTCCGCGTGTGCCTCTGGTTTTGACAAGAAATCTCATGCTGGACCTGAAGTACTTTTTCTGCTGGCAGATTTGATGAAGATGGTGCGTAGTCAGAAGGAGTTTGGGTGAAATTGATATTTTCTGATGAAGGAGAATTTTAATCAGAAAAGTCTTTGTAGTTCTGGTTAAAAAGCTAAATGTCTTCATATATAGGGTGAAAGTTTCTCCTTGTTCCTGTGTACTGCCATGACAACTGTGCCACCTTTTGAACCAAGAGTGTAGAAAAGAGTATCTATTAGCATAAGATTTTGATTAGAAGCATAAGCATAAGTATGTGCTTTGGCTTAAGTTTGTTGTCCTTTTCACATTTCATTATTTTTGAAATGCTGTTTGAAGGCCCCATTCATCTGCAGCATTTTTATGACTGTGAGATTATTTTGCCGAACTTTTGCAGGTGTGCGCATCTTTTGTGGTGTTACTGACACCAATCTTCAATAAATCAACCAAAATTGTTGATTTGATACCCTTGTGCCTGTTTTAGTTTAGTAGGCCCAGTATTACATGGCTGTATAGCAGTTCCCATGGAAACTAGTTGGCTGCACCTTCCAGAAGCTTTTTAGTAAAGAAATACAAGATAAAGGGACCTAAATGAACTCTTCTGAAGGAAAACCAAAGTCCCAACCACTTCTAATGAATGTATTGTAACTGAACAGTTCGGAGTGGAAGACTGAGTTGTTCTTTTGGAGGCTAAATGACTAGTGAAAGTATGCCTCCGGTATACTCTAAGCTGGTATCTCTCTGCAGGCTAAATTTGGGAATTTCTTTAGATCAGGAATAAAGGGAAAGGAAAAGAACTTTCATTTTAAGGCTACACTTGGTTTTAGTTTGGCTTTTCATTGTCCTAGTCCTTCAACATTATTTAGTTACTTTCCTTTTGTGATTTTTAATGGATAAAACGATGTGTTAAATACTGTAAATATTTTGCTGCCTTTTCCTGGATGCTTCTTTTAGAGTAAACATTAGTTAACAGAGTAGGAGAAGGCCTTTGAAGCAGGCAGTGTTTTACCAGTAGAAGGATGTAGGAAATGAACCCTTTCGTGTCAGATATGCCCACTTAAAATGCAGGTCATTTGGTAGGAGAAAAACAAAAAACATTTTCCCTTCTATTGAAAGATCCATTAGTTTGAATTGTATAATCGTTCAAGTAAGCATTACAGGAGTCATCAGAGTGCCATGAGCTAAAAACTGGGAGATAGCTAAGTTTGTTCCATCTGAATTGAGCTAGTAAATTAAATGAGACAATTCCAGGAAATGGCATTGCTGCTGTTACACAGGAAAAAATCAGATAGATTCAGTAGTAGTATCTCCAGGATATTATTATTCCCCTTAAATAGAAATTCATCAATTCTCTTCTTGAATTTGACCAATAGGTCTGAAATGGAATCTGTGTTCTGAGCATTTGACTAATGTTTATTGGCAGCTTGTGTAACATATGTGGATAAATCGTATGGAAAAAGTGTGAAGCAGGCAGTCAACAGTGAAAAAGTATCACTGAGGAAAGAAGCCTGGTTGTCAAGCTCAGCCCAGTATGGTCTAAGACCCAAGCTATATGATGCCTGAATAGTGATGGTGGGAAGAAAGGAAGTGATGGGAGACAAAGACATTCTTTTAATTTATCCCAGAAATCAGAGCAATTGAGTTCATCAGCTTCGATTCAGTAAGATAAAAAAAAAAATAAAATCAGGTCAATAAGGCATGAGGAGTGAGTCAACAATTTTACACCAAGTTTAGTTGTTTAAGACAAAAGGAAAAAAAGTTGTGAACAAATGGGATGGAGGTCAGTTTTGTATATGGAAAGAAAAATATTCTGAGAAATGGGTAGTAGTTGCATTTTTGCTCATGTAATGGAAAAGATGATGTGAAAAGAGGGAAGATAAAATATGTGTATTTGGGAGTGGATTGGGAAAGATACTGAGGAAAGAAAGAATTCAGAAAGCTGGGGACACCTCTACCAAGTGATTGTGACAGCTGCATTTTGAGTGCTCTGAATGGAAATGGATTGTGTCACGGAAGTGAAAAGAAAACACATTGCAAGAAATATTCAAATCACGTTTTTATGACTGTAGCAATGGTGTCAGA